TCAATCCCTAACTCAGTAAAAAGTAGTTTGAGCTGAGTTAAGTCGTTATTCAATATAATGGACCTAAATGTATGTAGTTAAAATAATTTTATATCCATTAGTCGAATGGAGAAGTGAGCAGATAAAAAAACGCAAATGGATATTATCCAAGAATCATTTTTAATTAAAGATGGTTTTTGTTGTTGTCACAATCAAATTCAAGAATTGCGACAAAATGTATCTAATATGCGGCAATTTATTTTGTCGTAAACTACTTTTCTTTTCCTTTCTCTGATATGTATATGGTGATTTGGATGTATAACAAAGAATATAACAAATCTATCATTGAACTAAAATTAGCAATCGAAAAGTCCACCGTTTGAAGATAAGTTGATGACAATTTGTTTTGTGTTTGTGGGAATTTCAGCTTTGCCTGCTAAAAATGGTAGTGGAAAATATAAATTACAGAAAAAGGGCTGCCATTGACGACGGCTGATAGAGCGTATGATTATTAAACATTTCGTTACCAAATTATAAAACGTTACTAATAGTTTGAACTTGTGATTGAACAATCATATCATTCATATATGTCAAATCAAGTCTATAAATGTACATGTTTTTTTGTAAAAAGAAAAAAACTAAATACAACATTGTCCCGACACAGCACTATGGCCTGTAATTGTCTTTTTATCGAACAGCAATCAATTTTCGAAATGATATATTATGAGTCCAGACGATTTATTACAGAACAACATTTTGGGATCAGTAATGTCATGCAAATCAGTCGGTTCGATATTTGTCTTTAAAGTGAAGGTAAAGTAAGCAAACTTTTATACTAGTTTGCTAAATTTCTTCTCAAGTTTTAATCATATAGATCATAACATGAGCCAACATATATTAGATACTGATATACTTCGAATCAACAGCTAAATTACTTATCTAGCCGTCTAGTGATGTCACTATAATTTCTTCAAAAACAAATAACCCAAATAATTCGTCACTAATCTGAATGATCTGTCGTATAGCTGTCAAACAATGGAGAAATTGTTTTTGAAGACAAAAGAGATTAATTCACATAAATTCATCAAATATAGCAAACTATTAAAATAGTGAATTAAAAAATATATATATTTGGAGATAAACATGGACCGTCAACGTCTTGATAGATTTTGTTTAAAGCAGGAGCACGTTACTCACTAACTCAGTTTTCGACTTATTTTTTTGGTTGCCCTACAACTAAACTCCCAACCAACATTCATTAATTGCAGTTCCAACTAAATAAACAAAAATGGCATTAGGAACCAATTAATCTCGATTCTCAACCATCGATTCCCTATATAGTAAGACCAATTTGGGTGCTAGTACAACGTGAAATAGGCCCTGAACGACAGTTGTAAATAAAAATAAATTTACTAGTAATTAAATAAGAATCAAGTGCTATAGTTTTCTTGGTTAACAATATTTGACTTGTAGAGTTGACTTATTAAATTAAAACTGTGACGAATAAGTTCTCTTATAAAATAAAAATTTGTGGATGAAATGTAGAACTAAAAAACCCTTAAAAGATGCTTTACGCCATCATGCATGCATGTGCACTTTTTTTGTTGTTGCTAAATTGTAAATAATCATTCATTTGGAATGAAACTTTGAGGTTTTACAAAATTAGTAAACTACTTGATAGCTTGTTACGTTGCAAAAAAAAAAAGAAAAAAATTTTAAACAAGAAAACAAATGGAATTGAGGAACCTAAAGTGCCTTATCTAAGCCAAAGAGTCATTTCAGTTTCCAAAAAATCTCCTATGACGTTTTGCTGAGATGGAGTTACGGACCTGTCTATCGATTTCAGAGAAGATTGTCGCAGCCGGTATGGATTGTAGGTTGTGAAGCACATTGTTTCTCTGTCTCCGGATGCTGTATATCGCCGCTTGAACCACTAGTATCCTTAGTATTGACCGAGCACCCTCTGTTTTTAATCTCATCCAAGACTATGGTAAAGAGTGGAAAGAACATGGTCTTAACTGGAGCCTTAGCTGGATTGTCTTCCAGATGATGTTGTTTGTTCTTGTTTTAACGATTTGTTCCTGCTATTTTATGGAATAGGCTTGGTTCAAACTTGGCAATTGATAGGAGATTTCAATTTCGTAAGTAGCTCCGTGAACTATTTCATAAATGCAAAGTCCAAAAATGAACATTTTATATTCGTGACGGCAAACTGATCGTGATTAACTTTTATCCTTTTACATTTCTCTTGTTATCTAACCTATTTATCCTTTTAAAGAGCTTTTGTGGTTTGATTAACTGTTTGTGAATATATATAGCTCTCAGCTTGCAGAAGAGGGAACTATAATCGTTCCACAGTTTAGATTAGGATTGATTGGACTCTTTATTGCACTATAACTAGTATGGTCACGTAAAAAAATCTTATTACAATGCGATTGACGTTAACGTATAATTAGTATGGTCACGTTAATATATCTTATTACAGTGCGGTTGACGTTAACGTATGATGTTACTGATAACCAGAAAATGTTCAGAATGAATTAATAAAAAAGGGGTTCAATTCAAGTCCATAATTTGATTTTACTTTTAATTTGCTTCTATATCTTTCGATTATTGGTGGGTTCACAAAAAGTTTGGATTGGTGAATTACCACTCTCTTTACTGTTATGTCGGCTTGTGTCCGCAGCCCCTACGTAATAGTGTAAATCGTTTATTTATACTACATTTTAATATTTTTGGCCAACATTTTTTTTATAAATAATTTTATTAAATCAATCAGAACCGGGAATTGATTATGGTTTACGAAGAGAATTTGGACAAAAGAACTGGCTTAATAATCAGAAGAAAAAAAAATGACGAGCCAAAATCGATTCACCAGCGAGGAAATAGTCCCAAATCTCCAGCCAAACCGAGAATAGCTCACCAAGATATTACCAACACCCAATTTATCAAACCTTTATCTTCAATCCGGTTTAAACCTAGAATAGAATCTGATGTTTTACATTTTCAAATGACCGTTGAACTACATTTTTTTTTTGTTTGACTCAGTTCCCTATACTATAAGTGTTTGTTACCTACATGTCAATTTTCTTCTTCTTTCTTCGTTGTTACTTGTTTTGATTGGCAGTAAGATTTCCACGTAGACATATCATGCAAACTGTATGTACTATTATTTTGTCAATTAGAAAACAACATAAAAAACTACATAGACACTAAAATTCACATACATTTTTTATAGTAAGTTTTTATTTACCAAACCTACCACAAATAAGTATATAACGTCTTCATAGTTTTGCACTGTGAGACTCAAATACTTATGCGTGCCAAATTCCTCGGGCTCCACTGCCTCGTTCAAACTATTCCCTTGGAAACCCTACTCTCGTTTTGGTTCCGCCACTTCTGAACAACTCAACAACAACGATTATTAGAATCTCATTTACTTTACTTTTTTAAGCATACACATAATATACTATACATACCATTTTCTGGAACTAAAATTTTGCACCAGCGAGTTGGAATACATCATATGATCGATTTAGAATTTCATTTTACATGTCTACTGTGCCTATATAATAATTCGTTGATCAATTCAGAAATTCTATTTGACAAAAAATCAGCTATTCTGCATGTATATAAGAAACATATATACGTTGGGCGTACGTATAATCATCGGCTCGGTTTAACTATTACATGTCAAAAAAGTTTCACAAAGAGTCCGCGTGAAATTAATGCCCAAACCTAACTCTACTCACTTACTTTCCACTCCTTCCATTTTAAAAATCGAATCATTAAATTGAAATATGTTTATGTACAGCGATATCTAGACTCCACCAATTAGTTAATTATTATTACACTTTTCTTAGAACCGAGTTTTTTTTTTTTTACCGAAACTTATATATTTTTAATTTAATAGAATCTTCAGAATTCATTTGAATTTTAACATAATCAAGTGTAGGTAAAAAATTGTTAGCCCGCGTCGAATTGTACTATATGTTACTTTTCTTTTTCAGTACGTAATAGGATATTTTTCCCCAAGGTTTCTGGTTTAGTGTTGCTTTTTTTTTTATTTAAAAAAATGAAAATGTTACAATCAAAATAAGATATATATATATATATATATAATTTGCTGAAAATACTCTATAACTACATGGTTTGTAATTTTGTTTACTTATTGAAACTAACAATACCATTTACAGCGAAACTAAACAAGTTCACTAATTGAAACTAAACAAGTTCACTAACAATACCATAATAATATAAAAAGGAGAATTCGTAAACATTGACCATTTAACAATGAAAATTAACCATGAACTTCTTTCGGTTTTCAGCTTTCAAAATGACTTCGTTAGACAAGATATATTTGTAAATTAATCAATATATTTTATAAAATTTCACATTATAATTTCAATTTTAAAAAATATATGATTTTAAAATTGAACTCACGATAAATATATTTTGAATTTTTGTACGTTAAATTGTGATAGTTTTTTTCTAAGCATTTTATTAAGTTTATGATCTCTTACGTAACGTACTAAGACTAAATTCAAATTAAAAGCACGGTTTCCAAAATTACAAGACTCATTAAACAAAAATATACATTGTACAATTTAACATTCTTCTATAAAAAATTCTACCAACCAGACGACAGGATAGTGTTTGAACTATTAGTCTATTATATATAAAAACCATCTTGACCAAATTTTGACGAAGTTATTATTGAGACAACAAATTCATTTACAACGAAAGTACATTTTACAGATCTTTTTTGTTTGTTTGTTAAAGTACATTTTACAGAGTCGTATCACGTATATTCTTTTCTTTCACCTTAGTGAGACGAGAAAATATTACAGAGTAGTATATTCTTTCGTTAGAACATATAATACGATGTCTTTAACTATAGGTCTCAAAACGAGAGAGAGAACAAAATAGATAGGAGTACAATTTTATTTATATTGGATTTGGACCCACCGACCTTAAAATATAACCACAAAATTAACAACCGCTAAAAAAAGAAAAGAAAATATAACACACTTACATTTCTCCGACTCCATATATACACTCAAAACCTCTTGGATTCTTCACATTTCACAACCACCACCACTTAGAAAAATACACTTATTTCAACAACGCATTGTGTTATACCATACATAAAAATCAGTTCCTCAGTTTTTTTTTGGGTTGTGAGATCGATGGAGAGTTACTTGAGGAAATGGTGTTTGGTTTCTGTGTTGGTTTTGGTTTTGGGTTTAGGGTTTAAGATAAAAGCAGAGCCTCAAGTTCCATGTTACTTCATTTTTGGTGATTCTTTGGTTGATAATGGAAACAACAATCGACTTGTTTCTATTGCAAGAGCCGATTATTACCCTTATGGCATTGATTTGGGCCGCCCAACCGGCCGCTTTTCCAACGGCAAAACCACCGTCGACGAGATCGGTAAACCCTTAATTATGTCCTTCTTATTTACAAAAACAAAATCTATGGCTGTTTCATTATTCCTAAAATATTAGTTATTTTTCTACTCTCATTTTGTCTAACTAAACTTGAGTGAGACTGAAATGTTACAATCAGAATCTAACATGGTTTTGTTTTGACATTTCTTGTGATGTAATGAAGCTGAGTTACTTGGGTTTGATAATTACATTCCTGCGTATACTGATGTGAGTGGCGAGCAGATACTTCAAGGAGTCAACTACGCATCTGCAGCTGCTGGAATCAGAGAAGAAACCGGTCAACAATTGGTAACAAGAACAACATTTTGATAAATCTCTCTCTGTTTCTGTTAATTAGGACAAAAAATAACTGTTTTAACATTTTTATTTTATGTTTTACTTTTGGGAATGAAGGGACAAAGGGTAACATTTAGTGGACAAGTCCAGAATTATAAGACCACAGTGTCTCAAGTGGTGGAACTTCTTGGAGATGAGAATACCGCAGCTGATTACCTTAAGAGATGCATCTACTCTGTTGGTTTGGGAAGCAATGACTATCTTAATAACTACTTCATGCCTCAGTTCTACTCCACTAGCAGACAGTACACTCCAGAACAGTACGCTGATGATCTTATCAATCGTTACAGCGACCAGCTCAATGTAAGCTATGTTCCATTCGATGAGACTATGTGCTATGCAATAAATCCTCTGTTTTTTGTGTGTGTCCTAGATCCTTAATTAACATGGGATGACCCATTTGATGAATGTGATCTTTATTTAGCTCATTAGGAGAGACCCATCTAATTTAGTACTTCTGAGTATACCTTTCTTTGTGTGTTTATGAAGGCACTATACAACTATGGAGCTAGAAAGTTTGCATTGGTAGGAGTGGGAGCCATCGGGTGTAGCCCAAACGCGCTAGCACAGGGAAGCCTCGATGGAACAACTTGCGTGGAGCGTTATAACTCAGCCAACCGAATCTTCAATGACAGGCTTAAGTCTATGGTCCAACAGCTCAACAACGATCACCCTGATGCTAAGTTCACTTACATTAATGCTTATGGCGTTTTCCAAGACATAATCGCCAACCCATCTGCTTATGGTACACATATAATTCTTCATGACTCTTACTTAAGTTGATTACAAAAAACTCAAAAATCGTCACAAAATTCGATATTTTCTTGTAAGTTATACACTTATACTACTAAATAATTAAGCTTAAATATATATTGATATTGGGTCCTTGGGTGAATGTTTTCAGGGTTTAGGGTTACAAACGCTGCGTGTTGCGGAGTTGGAAGGAACGGAGGTCAACTAACATGTTTACCAGGACAAGCGCCGTGTCCAAACCGTGATGAGTTTGTGTTTTGGGATGCGTTTCATCCAACAGATGCTGCGAACACGATCATTGCTCAGAGATCTTTCAATGCGCAATCGTCTTCGGATGTTTATCCCATTGATATCTCAACCTTGGCACAGCTTTGAAAAAAAAAGACATATAATAGGAGAGTTCTCAACCAAATGTATGATTTTCAAGTTCTAAATTCAGTTTTTTTTTGGAAAAACTGAAGTTATGTTCTCAACTGTTCTACTTTATAAAACTTGCATTCTTGGTTCACTTCCGCGATGCTTTTCGTTTGTTTGTCTGTTGATAATAATGTATTCTCTTATAGAAGTTAAATGACTCTCAAGTCTTAAATCCATCAATTGGTGTTATAATAGATTAAACTAGATTTACTGTCTAAATCTTTTTTGTTCAGTAAAAGTAATCATCAACAAAAAAGAATAACAGATTTGCTGAAATATTTGAATATAGTACTGGTTCTGGATCGGGACTATGTCAAATTGTCACTTAAGTTTGATCATTTGATTTAATAATATATGAATATACTACTGGTTCTGGATCGGGACTATGTCAAATTGTCACTTAAGTTTGATCATTTGATTTAATTTGATTTTTTTTCTTTCTAAAAGCCGTACTTTCGATAGCTTACAAGAAAAAAGAGTCCATTATCAACGATGAGTAGAAGTTGTAAGAAAAAACATAGCTACATTCAAATATCTGACGTAAACGCATATCTCTTCTAATTACTTCCATTGTGCATTTGAAAAGTTTCTTGCATGATCCTCTGATAGGAGCAAAAACGTTTGTCAAAATCCAAATTGATTCAATACTGGATATGAGCCTCTCCATTTATTACCATTGATTTTTTTTTTTTTTTTGAAAACACATAACTCCTAAAATAATATCTCAGTTCAATAAGTCCAAAAGGATATAACCAATAAAAAAATGGAATTCAGTTCGTGATGAATAAAACAGCAAAATCAGCATTTTAAGAAGGTGTGTTAGAATGTCCCATATTAGAAATAGAAATGATTCAACGCTAATATATGAAGTATAAGCCTCTATATCCATCGTCTATTGGTTTTGTGCGGGAAACCCATGATTCTCAGTTTGGACATTTTCTTTTGATATAAAAGCAATAAAATCTGTACATAAAATTGATCAGCATATCAATCAAACCTATACTATCAAAGCCTAATAACATGTGGTGTACCTATTATATATCAAACGAATAGAAAGACAATGCGAAAAAAACAAATTAAATGACCCAATAGATCTAAACCAAAATGGTGTTGTGTACCACTGTCTTTTATCATCTTGTTTTTTCCGTTATATGATACACAATATGAGTTGTCCAGACCTGCATCTATGTTTAGTCGTCTGGACCAGGAAACTAATTTGGGTTGAGTTTGAAAATGATCTTCTTTAGCTCAGCTTCTTCTGAAGGCATTGATAGATATGCTTTCGACTTGCATTACATCTAAATCCTTGCAGAATTTGGAACCATTGAAGTGTGGAGGAAATAGGAGGCAGTGAAGAAGGGGCAATAAAATGCATGAAGTGGTAAGTAACTGCAAGCTCATCTATGTTGATACCTGAAATTCACCGTATGCTATAACATCCAATAATATAATAAATGTGTTATTATCCTAAGTTAAGACGGTCCCCTACGTTCTTAAATGGAAAGAGTTGGAGGGGACGTGGAAGCAGCACTGGCCTTGGTCAGTTATGAAACAATAAGTCATTTGACTTATTCACGAACAATCCACTTTTTCATTTAATGCCCTAACTAATTCTTCACCTGTTTTCTCTTCACCAGTTCTCCTCCATTCTAAATAATTTAACTCTTTTAATTAAAAAATTTAAATCTTTTAATAAAATTTAGATATACATACACAGCGAATTACACCGGTAATACACAATGTATCACGATTTTTTTCTATCGTTTAAGATGTTATTTATTATAAATTATAAAAACAACTACATGAATAATTTTACTACAGACAATTCTATATCCATGATCAATGATCAATAGTTCTGTCTGTACCATGCTCATATCGAAATCTTATAAATTTTCATTCTCGGGGAACATGTAGTCAACCACGAAAATGGAGAGGGATTCCACTACAATTTTCTTCTCTTTTGTATTTATATATAAAAGGATGGTTTTAATTGAGGCATTTAATATCCAAATTATGACCAAGTTTGGAATTTGTACGCGGAAAAAACTCTACTTCGGAAGCACAAGTGGCTTTGTCAAGATCCCGACCAACCCTCGCCTCAAATTATGCTGCAAAATATATTTATAAGCTTTTTAAATAATTAAGACGATAAATTTCTTAAAACAATGATGGAAACTAATATAATGTTTTTTGATCAACTGATTTTCATGGTATATATATAGAAAGATAGTAAATGTTGCAAAGTTACTGTATTGGTACGATAAATGTTTTATTTTGGATATTACAGAAAGAAAAAAAAATTCCAATCGATTTCTCTTCAGTTTTTGTTTGATCATACTTTCTCTCACTTCCTCTTAAACTCTTTAAATTATGATGATATTTTAGTCCGTGATCAAAGTCGAAGCGGTTGTCGGCACATACACAGTTTTAATAAGTAAGATTAAAAGCCCTTGATAAACCAATCTTAATTTTTGATTAATGATTGAAAACAGAAACAACAGGTTATTTATTTAAATGGACCCCACCAATCTTAAATTAAAGTCACTAGTCCTACAAAATTAAAGCTACCAAAATATCATGTATATATAAATGCACACTTCTTTGGATTTCTTCCATCACTACTCTTTCCATTCCATTATCTTGTTATTACTCAGTAGATTTTGGTTTTGAAATGGAGAGTTACTTAAAGAAATGGCGTGTAGTGTTTGTGTTGTTGAGTTTAGGGTTGAGTGTAGTAAAAGCACAACAAGTTCCATGTTACTTCATTTTTGGTGACTCTTTGGTTGACAATGGAAACAACAACGGTCTTGTTTCTTTTGCAAGAGCCAATTACTTCCCTTACGGCATCGATTTTGGCGGCCCCACCGGCCGTTTCTCCAATGGAAAAACCACCGCTGATGAGCTCGGTATGGGTCTTTTTTACAATCTGTCTTCTCTATATATAACACTAATTAAGTAGTTAAGAGTTGTTTAAAGTGTTAATAGTCCTAATCTAACATGGTTTTGACATTTATTTATGATGTGATGAAGCTGAGCTACTTGGATTTAATGGTTACATTCCTGCGTATAATGCCGTGCGTGGTCGGCGAATACTCACCGGAGTTAACTACGCATCTGCAGCTGCCGGAATCAGAGAAGAAACCGGTCGACAATTGGTAACTAAACATAAAAACATTTTCTCTCAATAATTAATCCTCATTCCTAAAATATTAGAAAAGTTCCCACAACTTCCTTTTTTCGTTTCTTGGAAAATGAAGGGACAAAGGATAAGCTTTAGCGGGCAAGTTAGGAACTACCAGAACACAGTACAGCAGGTCGTGAGTCTGCTTGGAGGCGAGACCCAAGCAGCTGATTACCTCAAGAGATGCATTTACTCTGTTGGTTTAGGAAGCAACGACTATCTCAACAACTACTTCATGCCTACGTTCTACTCTTCTAGCAGACAATTCACACCCGAACAATACGCCGACGATCTCATCAGTCGCTACAGCACTCAGCTTAATGTAAGTTCTTCTATTATGGCTACTCTATTTAGCTCTGCTTTTGTGTCATTAGATCTTCTATTTACACAAAGTTACAAGCTTTGACTCTCTCGAAGTTGACCCATTTGGTTGATATTCAGTTTCGGAATATCTTTAAAATGTTTCCATATTTACCTTTCCTATTATGGCCCATCTGATGAAAATTTGACTTTTTAAGCAGAGAATTAAAAAAAAAAGGATTACAAAATTAGCAATTTATAGTAGAAAGTGAGGTCTCAAAACTAATACATATAACCCCAACTTCGGTCATCACGTGTATAAAGTGTTATTAGCTTTAGCTTTTTATGAGTGACTCATCTCGTGAAATCTGATTTTCGTAGGAAAATTTTTAAAGATGTAAAGTAAAATCTTTTCATTTTGTAAAAAGAATTTGCATTCGGAGACTTCCTTGTTTCACAATCTTTCCTTTTTGGGGCTTTGTCTAGGCGCTATACAACTATGGGGCAAGAAAGTTTGCATTGATCGGAGTTGGCGCAATCGGTTGTAGTCCAAACGCGCTCGCACGTAGTCGCGACAGTAGGACTTGCGATAACCGAATCAACTCAGCCAACCAAATCTTCAACAACAAGCTCAGATCTCTCGTTGATACGCTCAACAACAATCACCCTGATGCAAGGTTCACCTACATCAATGCTTATGGCATTTTCCAGGACATGATCACAAATCCTTCTAGATTTGGTATATACAATACACGCACACGCAAGAATGTCTTTGATTTTCAAAGTTGGAAGAAAACAATCTTGATATCATTTTTTGTCTGAAATGTTTTTTTTTTTTTTTTTTTTTTTTGGTTTTCAGGGTTTAGAGTGACAAACGCCGGATGTTGCGGTATTGGTAGGAATGCTGGTCAGATCACATGCTTACCAGGACAGAGACCATGTCCAAACCGAAACGCGTACGTGTTCTGGGACGCCTTTCACCCGACAGAAGCCGCAAACGTGGTTATCGCAAAGAGATCGTACAACGCACAATCGCCTTCAGACGCTTACCCTATTGATATCTCAGCGCTGGCACGGCTTTGAAGAAAACAGAGAAAGAAACATAAAAGAACTAAAAAAAAAAGTGCCAAAAACTACAAATGTGTGATCTTCTCGTGCATGTACCGCATTTTTCATATCTATATCTTTTTAGCATAAAAAGAATATCAAGCGTAACATTATTCTATATTTATAAAACCCGGTACATTACATTACATAGCACATTGCTCAGGGGAACTGCTCGTTACGGTTCATTTCCACAGTCACGATATCTAGTACGAAACATTTACCATGTTGCTTCCAGTAATCTGCCATCGGATTGATCCATTCCGGTTCAGCTATCTCCGCTCTCTGGTGTTTCAAATCATCGGTCGAAACGTTGTACTTCTCATCTCTGATCTTAACCAACTCTGGCCTTAATACCCCTTGCCCCACCCCTTGTGGTGACATCATCAGTTCGGGTGCACCCATTGGTAACTTGTCACCTACACACAAGATCCAATGATTGCTAGAACCAAACTAAACCAGAAAATTTCGAGAGATTGTGATAATGTTTGGTTGATATAAAGAATTAATTGTGATAATTAATTTTTTAATCAGTAGACTAACTAATAGAGTCAGAGCCGGTATTTAGATGGGAGACATATACCTCGGTCAATCTGCCAAGTGCACCAAAATTTTCCATACGTTTTGGCTATGTTCTTGAGCTCTGGAGCAGCCACAAACTCAGGCAATCGTGGATAAGCCCACGAACCGGACTTAACTTCATAAGCATGAGAGTGCCATAGCTTTTGCTCACCTTGAGGCAGATTTTCGTATAATCGGTCGGATATTACATATTCAATTCCTGAGAATATAACTTTTGTCACAAGTTTCCAAAATTGCGCATTTTATGTGAGTTATGAAAAAAAAACAAAAGTTACCGATGAGAGGTGCATCGGAACGGTCAGAGGCGTAAACGGCGCACTGGAGAAACTCGTCGTTGACTCGGTGGACGTAGTGGTGAGTCTCTATTTGCCGGGACATATCTCCGCCGTAAATCGCAAAAGTAGAGACATGACTTTTCATCTGCTTCACCGGTAACCGCCGTTGCATGATAGTCGTTCCGGCATCAATCACACGTGTGGAAATCGTCACCGGTTCTCCGGGAGGCACTTGCTCTTCGTTGCCGTTTGAAGTCATCCTTGATGATTTTCTTTTCCTTTTTCCAAATTTCTCTGTGTGTTTTTTTTATAGATTTCGTTTCATGGTTTAAGATTAGATTCTTTATAATGATGATTATGATAATACATGGCATGCAAATTTCATAACGTGTCATAACAAGGCTTTACATCGAACCATGTGTTGAAATATCCGACTACAATTTACATCTCTGATGAATAAAATAAAAATCGTCTACAATACCAAACCGGGCCAAAACTTAAAAATAATCAACCAATATCAAACAGAACCAAACCGGAACGGTTCTCATAGGCAACCGGAGCATGTACAAAGAAAGATTCCCTGTGCAAAAGAATGCTGACGGAAAAAAAAATTTCCCGGCCGCCGGAAAAGCAAGATCTCATCTCTAACTCTCTCTCTCTCTCTCAATAATTTAGCAACGAATACTTCACACGCAACACAATCTTACCCTTTTCAACGCCTAGCTTTGCTCCAGTCACAAGCCAATGTCCAGGCAAATCCTGTGGTCCTTTCAACATCTCCGACGAATCAACGATCTTTGCAAGCTTCCCTGCCTGCCCCGACACGTCCTCTCTCTTCTCCTCCGTCGAAGAACTCGATGTAGACGAACCTCCCGGTTCGAGTCTACCGGAGGAAGCTACCGGAGTGTGGTCCCAGACGGACCGTCTTATTGTGCAACCGGGGACTTTAGAGAAGAGTAGTTTCAGGTGCAAAACGTTCTTTGATCCGAAATCCCAAACCCCGAGCTGAGCTCCGGTGACAATGTGAACGCCGGAGAGGTCGCCGATGTGTGTCTCGGTGTGTTCGATCGGCGAGGTGCTCACGTGAGAGAAGTTCTTCCATTTGATTGGCTCGAACCAGCGGCTATCTTGCTCCTCTGGTCCTTGCCATTTAGGTGCACCTATAGGCACGTGAGAGTCCCAATGTGGCTGCAAGATTTTGGGGAGAGAGACCAAGTGTTGTAAATGTATAGAGAGACGGTTTTGTTTGCTTCCTTCTAAGCTTAGCCTGAGACCTGTCACCGGTTTACGCCCAACCGTCACCTGAAAAAACCCCAAAAAAGGCAAATATATGTTCAGTTTATCCATAAACCGGACGATAACCAAACCGAAACGAACCAACCGGTCTGTTGTTTACCTGATCAGCGCTGATGAATAGTTTAGGACCCATTAAGCTGAACTGAAGAGATTGACACACAGGTTCTTTGCGTTGGAGGTTACTCTGTTCGGGAGCCCAAGCTCGAGCTATTTGGAAATCCAAGAAGTATTGTAAATCTTCGATAGGAGGCTTATCTGGTTAAAAGCATCCAAGAGATTTTTAACGTTTATGAGAATGTCAAAATCAGGTGGATTCTACTATCAAAGAAGTTGCAAATTTTCAGAGTTAGAAACTCACATTCCAAGTAAAGTTCGATAGCACGAGTCAAATGCCGTAGACCAGGCACACCTTCGAGCAGAGAAACAATAGGAGTAAAAGTCATGTTGATAATGTCTGGAGCTGCAGGTACTGTCTCAGCCCATCTAGCATGGCTTTGCTCAAGATCATCGCCTCCTCTTCGCCTAAATATTACTGTGATATCCTACAGGAGAGAGCTACTTCAGCTAAAATATCTTCCATTTGATCATAAGGAGATGAACAAGAGTAATCTCGACATGGCTCGTGACGTTTTCACTAACCTTGTCTTTGTATTTTAAGGGGCCAGTTATAGATTGGCTCTCTGCTTCGTGAAACCTGTGCTCCATCATGTCGTTGACATAGTTCTCGATTTCAGATACCGGTAAAGGAGAAGACTGATGCTGCCTAATGTATACCACGTCTCTTCCACCAATCGTCACCGAAGTTACAATATGAGTCCCGTAAATTTCGATAAAGCTGTACAAGATAGTAAACAAGAGGAGAAACCACATCAGAAACATGATAAATGTCAACAAAGAATCACACACAAGTTTAGCTCCAAGGAATCTAAAACCGCAGAACAACGAACTGACGCTAAGTTACTTCTTTGACATTTCATTGATATGTTCCTCAAATGCCATGTTCATATAGAGATTATAAACAACGAGACCAGAAGATATAACACTGCAGAAAACACAGAGAGTAGAATATACCTAGCTAAAGAAGCGGGATCCCATGAAGAAGGAACAGCGCGTCTGATCTCATTGCGCAAAACCAATGTAAGCTTTGCCAATTTGACTTCATAAAGCGGTATAAAATATCCAACCAATGCAAGAGATTTTGTGGATGCTGCATCGACTTGCCAAGAACCAGTGTAATTGAACATCGCGTTAAAGCATCCAAGTGGTATGTTCCCTTTAACGCCTGATCTCTCATTGAAGTATTCTGCCATCTGCCAAAAGAAAGTTTCTAATGAATAACCAGAAGCAAGACAGTATCTTTTCAACAGAGATAGATACCTAAGAACAAGAACACGTTAACAAACAGCATTAATCAGCACAAAAACGGCTACAGCTATTTCCCTTAGTATCTGACTTGACCAAACTACAAATGCAGCAATTGCCACAGTGAAGCTAAAGTTCAATGTAAAGCTTCCAAATTTAGAAAAAGTCCAACGGTTAATTAGGATGCTATGAGCTAGTGGTTCCACAAATACCAGATCAGACATCATGTTACTGTAGATATGTTATCAAGACAAAGACAAAAAAGGAGGTTAAATGTAAGAATTGCATTTCCAACATCAGGACCAAGAATCTTACCAAAAATATAAATTGGGGCAAAGTAACAAAGAAAAAAACGGGTGAGAAAATCACCTCGTGGAAGGTGCAAACAGGGATTCTCTGTATGCTAGTTCTGCCTTGAGAGCACTCGATTTCAGCAGGGACGTTAGGAAGAAGATCCCCATCGGACAATTCAAGATCTCTGTTTTGTCCTTCTTCGATACGAACCAGTCTTGACCCAGGAGCTCCTTTGCAGTACAGAAGCCGAACATCTGATGTAACATCGAAACCACGGCCTAAAGCTTGGATCGCATTGCGAAGCGTCGTGGTCAAAGCTTCGGAGCTCGATACGCTCAAGTTTCCTCCTTTAGGATTCTCCATTCGACACAAATAGAATAGAACCCGGAGACTAATCTTGAAAGGCGATGAAGACGATAGACTCTTCTAGGGTTCGTGAGTTTCTGAGGAAGAAGAAGAAGAGAGTTTTTTTTGAGCTTTCGATTTAGCCTCTCACCAACACCATTGCTGGTTTTGACTCCAATAATCGTAGAAACCGCGTTTGAGATTTTTTTTTTTTTTTTTTTTTTTGGTTTTTTTGTTTTGTTTTATTATCTCTTTCTTCTGGGTGATATCAAGAAGATTCTTAGGTTGACTGGTCATTTTTCTTTGTTGGCATTGTTTCTTTATTTTTCCAGACAAACAAATTCTTTGACTTTCAGTTTTCAATTTCCCTCTTTTCTAGGTATTCTATTATCATGTCTTGTTCTTTGAATTGAGCATATGCTTTTCTTTTTCGCGGAATATACAACATTTTACTAGTAGATAAATTCATCAGAAATTCAAATGTTTCTTTTGCTCAGTACATTGTATATTTGTCGAATAAACTACTAAGATCTTATAACAATGAGTTACATTCGGAATTTTTAGCATTTTCTTATCGCCAAAAGTTCCAATATCATGTCTTGTTCTTTAAATTGAGCATATGAATTTTGTTTTCCATTTTTTTTTCAATTTTATTTCACAAATTAAAAATTATTAGATTATAAACATGCATGTACGCATGTCCTAATCTTGTTAACTAAATAGAAATTTAATCATATCATTGGTACAGTGATTATCTTTTCGTCTGAAATTTTCTTAAGTCAAATAACCGAAACAGAGATCTCTGTGGTTAGTATAGTTTTCAGTTACAAAATTAGTTATTTTTTTTCTATGTTCAAGCTAGAAGTTTGGACTATAGAAATTTGAATAATTACAATAAAGGGTAATAGATGTTAGCAAAATTAAAAGACATTTTTTAGTATAGATCCCATAAAACTATTCACCATAAAAAGACTATATCACCTTTATTCTCTAAGATTTTGCTATCACAGTTATCATGATAATTTTTTAATTATTATCAATGAATATTCTAAATAAATTACTGTTAATATACATATTATGCTGATATTATTGTTAATATTTTATATAAATTATGTATTAATATAAATATTGTCATTATATTATTGTTAACGTGCTATATTTCTCGATTATTAGTGTTAATATTTTATATTTAACAAATATTATTGTTAATATGTTAATATTTTATTACAAATTTTTGGAATTATCACGTTATAATTATATGATATATTTGTTACTATTTATAATTATCATATATATTTGTTAACATGTTAATATATTATATGATAACAAAGTTAACACAAATTTATAACGATAACTTTCATATTTAACACAAACTTTCATATTTAACACAAACTTTCATATTTATAGCGATAACATGTTAATATTTTATTACAAAATTTTGAAATTTTGAAATTATCATGTTATAATTATCTGATATATTTGTTATCACTTATAATTATCATATATATTTGTTAACATGTTAGTATATTATATGATAACAAAGTTAACACAAACTTATAGCGATAACTTTCATATATTTTATATTAACTAAATAGTTATCCAATAATAAAAAATATCTTCTCTTAGATGAATAGTATCAGCGATGATGAACAGTATCTACAGTAATACCATGTGCAAAAAAATGACTAATGGCAATTTATATAAATAAGTAAAGTTAAAAGGATAGTAATGGATAAAACAAAAAATTCTCTTTGCTACTTACCTAATTATTAATTTATGAATGCTATATATTTAATTTTTTGATTAACTATTGATATAGAATAAATTCACTCTAGAAATTTGTTAAAAAATTTGTTAAATATCGATTATTAATTTACAGAGTTTGTATATGACACTCTTTTTTTGTGTGTATATGACACTCTTTTTAACGCATAAACCTTTCTCGCTGAACATACGGCAACAAGCTTGGTTGAGTAATATTTATGAGATCCATTTGCTAGCAAAGAACAAAGAAATGACGATTTTGTATTTTTTCATCATGCAACATTTTCTTTCAAGGTTCGACAATTTTATCGTTAGCATGCGTCGTTGAACAGAGTAATGGTGCAATATTGTCCGAAAAGATGAAATTTCCGAAACCTAAGTCAGCACATAACAATAAAAATAATTATCGTCCATATAGAAAAATAAAAGGGACGACAATTCTTAATATATTTACATCTGTGTATGCTCATGTACACCGTTCGTTTCTTTCTACATGCCTGAAAATGGAGTCAAGATCTCTAACGGCACGCCTGGTATAGCTTCCAACACTTGAGCTTTTGGGACTTCTCTTGACAATAATTCCTGCATCCAAAAAAACAAACATCGAAGCATTATCACCATTGATCTTACATAAAGCAAATATTTGATTTGTGTTACATTTTTCTTTTTTGGGTTAAGAATCTGCACCTTAAATGATTCCATCGTTCCTTCTTTCTTTACTATGCTTGCTAGTATTCCCTTTGCATCAAGATCGCCATTTTGCATCGGCACAACAAACCTACAGTCCAAGAAAAAGCAAATGCAAGATTGCAGATACATTCTCTTGATGTTACATGTGATTTAATACAAAAATAAAAATAAGATAAGGTTGGATATTTACTTGGCTTTCAAGAGTTTTGCGAGCTGGACTGCGTCTTCTTGGCCAGAAACCAGAGTAAATCGTGGGAGAAGTTGTTTGATGACCGGTGTGATTACAATGTCGGCTCTCTCATTCTTCAAAAATTCCATGTTGTATACACAATGCGGTTCGTAGTAGAGAGATATCTGATCTTCAGGGGATACAATGAGATATCTAAGGAAAAAAATGGAACTATGTTGCCGTTAAATGTTGTTGCAGAAAATACTATCCATGGAGAATTTGCAATCTTGATGAGAGTTTTGATTTACCCGTTTTCAGGGCGTTGCCATGGTGGACCAAGGACAGGTCCTGCTGTGGCTTTAACTCGAACTTTAGAACCGTTTCTTGCATTTAGCTCGTAGCTCTCTCCAGGTTCCAAGTAAGTGACCTACAACAATATTTCAACTGTTAAATCTGTTGAAGATCAAAGGTCTGCAAATCCGGTTAAGAATCGGATAGGGATGGAGAAATGAGACTAAGAAAAATGAAACAAGTGACTTACATTTCTAAAAAGAGGATCCAGCAAAGGCTTTGCATTTGGAGTTGCAATAACCTTAATGCCAGGAGATTTCTCAGAATCGGCTTAAGGGTATTCAGATGACAGTGATCATCAAGGCTTTGAGTTATGAGCAGGCAATCAACTTCAGGGAGATCATCAAGCTGCATCGAATATAGACTGATTCATGCTTCTTTCTCCACAAAAGATGATATGATATGAATAGAATGAAAACAAAACAAGTGTTACCTTGAAGCCTTTCAGAAATCTCTTGGCAGCCTCATAGAGCCATGGGATCCCAAAATCTAAATTACCAACGAGAATCGGATCAACCAGGATATTCAATCCGCATGTTTGCCATAGCCAGCTATTTCCCTAACTCCCAAAAAGAAGATATGTCAACATTCTCTCTTATGGAATCACAAATGTTCAAGTTGTAAAAGAGCCCTCAAAAACGATCCATATGAAGAAACTCCACCTCCAAGTATGTCAGCTTGAACGCATCTGCCCCAGAGCCGCTAGCCTCGGTAGCTCTGTCCTCTGACAAAACAGAAGATACCATACGGAGAGACCGTGAAACACGAGGCCAGAGCTTGAAGTTGATGGAAAGGGACTTGAAAGGACTGTGAAGAGTGGGTGAGAATAGCTTGGATGCAGTTCGGACTATTTTCTTGGAGTTGATACTTAGAGGAAGAGCATTGCCGTGAAGTGGCATCGTGGCTGCTTTGCCACCTGACACCACCAGAGCCATTGGTTTTGTTTTGCCACCTGACGATACTCTGAGAAAAAAAAAAAAAATCAATGAGTGAACTGAAAAGAGATTCACTGGTTTATAGAAAGCTAAATGTTTAGAACTTGGGAAGACTTAGAAATGCTAGGAGTAAAAAATATGCCCAAAAATGTGAGAGATATTGGCTTTAGAAAGGTTTCTACTTTAGCTCTATAATCTGTTGTAAGCTAAGTTAAGATTTTATTCTGTGTAAAAAGAGTTGTTCTAACACAAATTTTAATGTTGTTGGGTTTGTCTAGACTCTGTAGAGAGTATATAGACTCAGCCTTCCCTAACCAACTTACAACAGTTGTATAAATATGTAACGATCAGTCCCAGGGTACTTATATAGTAGAGTTAGTTACAGCTATGGCTTGAAGCAGCTGAGTTTCTTCAAGTAGACTAAATGGGTCTTTGGCTTATCAATACTAATTCGATTTCCCCTAATCTGAAACCTAAGGTCATACGAGGAATTCAAAATCATCTATGAATTGTGATACTACTCTTTGGCCTTGAGACTTATTTTAATAGATGAGATGCTATAACGTTCTGAAATTCCTTTAGCTCACGAATATTCAATTAGATTCTCGAATATGAGAGTGTAATGGAGAAATTAACAGAAAATCCGACCTAGATCACTAATCAAAATTCGAACTTTCATTAATTCAGTAGCCGTGCAACCCAGAAATGTAGAAATCGGAACAAAGGGATGGTTAAAAGTAATTGGAAACACAGAAGGAAACAGCAGAAGAAGAAGAAGGAACCTGATTTAGAGTTGAAGAGAGTGTTTGGCGAGAAAGATAGTCTTCATGCCTCTCTGTCGAGTGAATGGTTCTCAAGTTCCCCAACACCAGTTAATCTGAGAGGAGAGAAATTGGTGGTTGAGTTTCACGACGCTGCTCTAAAACGCGGCGTTTAGATATTACCGGTCGCTCTAAATCCGGTTTACCAAACCAAAAACCAAATCAATTTTTTTTTTTTTTTTGAAAAAAAATTGGAGCTCACGCCAAATCAAATTAGGTTTTGGGATATTCTCAATATAGTTCGACTGGACTCTGGTCATTTTTGCTTGTAAACGTCGTTGCTTTTGTGTTCTGAGTCGCCGGAGCTGACTAGCGATTTAAATAAGTTGAAAATATAATAGAAACAAGTTGAAAAAAGATTGAATAAGATAACTTCACAAGCCTTTCTTCTCTAACAAGAAACAAGGCAATGTGCAATTGTGCACAGTTTTTTTTTTTTTACTTTGAACAAGAATGTGCACATCTTTAAATATTACAGTATACTATATAAGCTCTCGGGTCAAGATTAAGATTAACACACAAAGCGTTCTTCTTCTCTCGTGGACACATTTCAAATGCAACCTTTAATATTACAGTGACGAGGAAGAAATTTCAGTGGTGGGGTTTAGTACCGCGGATTCTAAGTTGAATGGGTTTAGGGTTATGTCAGACACTAAGGATGTAGTTGTTGTTTGAACCGATGCCGTTATCTCATTTCTAGGCGTGCCTGAGCCGTGAGCTGTATGACTGTTTTCAATCCTCTCCATCAGCATTGAGAAGCTCAAGTCGTGTCCGTACATATCAGGACTTGACATAACTTGTGGTATTTCAATCACTCCCTCGAACATTTGCACGACCTCTGACATTGTTGGCCTCAACAAAGGAGATGAGTTTGTACAAATGAGAGAAACATTGATCATCCTCACCGCTTCCTTTGCTGTTGAATTCACCTTCCAGCATTGGATCTACAATCTCCATTATGTCTCCTTTCTGTTGCAGTGTCAGTGCCTAAGATTGATGTAAAAAATGGGTTTCACTAAACTTGTAGAAGTTGCAGATCAAATGGGCCAAAGAGAAACAAAAAAGCTCCATGCAGTTACCCAATTGATAAGCGAGAAGTGATAAACAAAAAAGCTTCCACTAACAATTTCCATTGCCACAACGCCAAAGCTGTACACATCTGCTTTCTCCGTTAGTTGACCCCATAACGCATATTCCGGAGCCATATATCCGCTGCATTATAAGTTAAGCCAAGACTAAGCTATGCAGTGGACTATTTTGTTTTTATGCCAAAGTGTGTATACTTACATGGTTCCTAATGTGGCTATGTTCTGCTTCATGGAGTCTAGCTAATCCGAAGTCAGATATCTTCGCATTGAGGTCAGCGTCTAGAAGCACGTTACTGGTTTTTATGTCACGGTGAATCATCCTGATCATTGATCCTTCGTGAAGGAATTCAAGCCCTCTTGCAATACCAACACAAATTTTTTGTCTAGTTACCCAGTCAAGTTTCTGGGAGCTCTTTCCTGGAGTAATTAGCAATTGTAAACCAAAGAGAAAAGAGATCACATTACATATGGTGACATATATGTACATTTGAATTTTGGCTCAAAATGTATTTCTAAAGAAAAACTGAATGAATTTTTTTTGTTTACCATAAAGCGCAAGAGCAAGGGAGTTATTTTCCATGTACTCGTACACGAGCAGCAATTGATTCTTCTCGACACAGCATCCATAAAGCTTGACAAAGGTTTGGATGATTCAGACCTGAGATCAATGCCTATCTCATTGACAAACTCACGGTTTCCTTGGCATGACTTGGAAGAGAGCTGCTTGACTGCTATGATAGTTCCATCTGACAGCTCTCCCTGCATTATATATCAGAAATTACATATGTTCTCAGGTATCTAAGTTTGAGAAGAACATGGCATCTATTTTAGCATACTTTGAACACGGATCCGAATCCTCCTTTCTCCAAGTTTGTTGGCTTGATCAAAATTGTTTTTTGCAGTTTGCAGTTGTCTCCAAGTAAAGCAAACAGTTTGTATACCTTGTGCTCTCAGATCTACATATGATCATATTTTGAGGTTCCCAAAGAAAAATCATTAATAATGCTATGAGCATTCAAAACCCTGGATTCATATAACTCTATATACCTCCTTCTGCCGCGTTCTTGTCTGTTCTGCATCTTTTCTGACATATATTCCCAAAGCCAAGAAAATAATTGTTACCAAGGCACCTGTCGCCCCCAAAATTAAGCGATAACTTGTGTGATGTTTTGTTTTCTCCGCTGCAAATGATACATTCCAAGTGTAAATATATATATATATATATATATATACATCATATCAAACATTACAATAAGGAGTGAGAAACATAGTAGTTTTTTTTTTTTTTTTTTTTGTCTTTGGACCTCCACATCGTCGGTCCAAACCTGAAATAATGAAAGATGGATATCATCATCGCTAGGTGGCAAAAAACGAGTATCAAGTCGATGAAGGTGAAGCACGGAAAAGCAACCATTAATAATCTTACGGTGACACAAGGAGAGTGCAGAGATTAGAGGGCCATAATATATATCCTCTGTTTGGGATGAGTGTTGTCCCTTTTCCCGCCCAATACAACCGAATTCTAACAAATGATTGGTCACATTAACAGCTTTCACTTCTTTCACAAGAGGCTTCAGAGTCCCATTAGCCTCCTCTTTGATGTTAAAATCCCTCAAGAAAATTAATAATCAATATATACTTACAGGCCATGCAGTTGATTGGACCAGCGCATGGAAGAAGTCCAGTTCTGTATGAAAATACGATCGGAATATTTACAAATCTCATAGTTCAAACAATTTCTATTTGCCATATTGGAATTCAAGAGATTAGTAAGTTTAAACCGTTCTTGTCCTTACAAATTATTCTTCAAGTATGAGCTCCGGTATGTGTTAATGTAACTGATTCAACAAAAAAAAGTTCTACGTACGTGAGGAGGTTATAACAAATGGATAGATGACATGAGCAGGTTGTATCCTATCTACCAAGGTTTTGATGTTCATATATACCTCTTTTCCTGGCAGCTAGATGACCATGAGAAATTGTTGTAAGAGAGATCACTGTGAAAGATTCACCAAAGATACAGAGACAACCGACAAGAAGATTAGATCGCATGGCCGTAATACTTTTCAAGCCATAAAAACAAGTGAAGGCCTGAAAACGTACATAGATTTGGTGTTGAGGAAATCACCCAAATCAATGTTTCCGGAAAGCATATTGCCAGTCAAATAGCTGAAAGAAGATGTCGAAACAAAATATCATCCCATTGTGATTCTTTGGTATTCGCAAGTCTTAAAAAAAAATCATCTTATGTCTTCAAACTTTCTAACTATGTCTACCTCAAATTCTACTACACTTACGTATATTGTGGTGGTTTTTTTACTCCTTGAACTTCACCAGTCAACTTGTTAATTAGACGATAAATCACTGCAGCAAACAACTTGTAAATATTATTTTTTACGTAAATGTATAGATACCGCTCCTGCGGTACTTGGAAACGGATGCATTAAAAACATCAAACTCATGATGAGAAGGAAAAACAGATACTGTACCGACCAAGTAAATAAAAGTATCCACAACGCAGCAATCTGGGAGAAACGCGCTAGGGAATGCGGCATTGTTGCCAAGACCATATCCACATACATTGATTCATTTAAGTGAATTCAAAACTGGACCAGTTTGGTTCCTACTAATATTTGCCTTGTTCTTTAAGCAACCACGATGGTTACAGGTACGGTGCACCTCCTCCACATGGTGGATTCGGAATGGGGCTAGAGCTAGATGTCATGCTCTTCTATGGACTGGATAACATCCGCAAAACATCACTCTTCCCTCGTGACCTTCACAGGCTCGCACCCTAATATTTATATTCGTCAGTCATCACACATATAGCGGGAACGAAAGAAACACTAACTTCATGGCTTTGATTGGTAACTTTGCGGAATCGCGGAATTACGGAAAAAATCTTGCGGAATAGATTAAGCGACTTATAAGTCGCTTTTCTGCGGAATGACTTTTCCTTTGTATTTTTGTTAAGCAAAAATGCAGTCTGCGTTTTTGTGTGTATTTTTTCATTACGCGGATTTTTGTTGATTGGCAAAAAACCCTGCGGAATTGTGTTTAAAAACGCAATTCCGCCATTCCGCAGGTTACCAATCAGAGCCCATATAACCACCCAACCCCAAAAAAATTAACCCAATTTAGCGACATTTGATTTTCAACCTTTTTTTTTCCTTATTATTAGTGTTCTAAAAGTTGGTCTAGACGGCCGTCTAGGCATCGCCTAGGCGCTAGGACCGTCCGCCTACGTATTAACCCGTTCATAGACCATGACGTTTACTTCATATGATATTTATATAAAAAAAATTGTTTTTTATGTGTAATTTAAATTTTGAATATATATTTAAGATATATATAATATATAAACTTTATTATTTATAAACAAATCATGTAATTTTATATATTGTACTCTATAAAATATATAATAAATTTATTTATTTGTAAATGTCTAAACACAAATCGCCTAGACTCCGACTATGCATTCTAGTGTCGCTCGCCTAGCGCTTTCTTGAACATTACCAAAAGGAGAGAAATTGGTTGTTAGAGTGAATTTCACGACGTTGCTTCAGTACGCTGCGTTTAATATTACGGGTCGCTCTGGCCTTAACCGACCCGGTTTACCATACCAAAAATCAAATATTATTTATTCTTTTAACTTGGAGCTCACGCCAAATCAAATTAGGCGAGGTGATATTCTCATTAGGGCTCGGTACGACTCCACTCTGATTATTTTTGCTTGTAAACGTTAAACGTCATTGCTTTTGTGTTCTCAGTCGCAGGAACTGACCAGCGATTTTAATAAGCTAATATTTAATGGAAACAAGTTGAAAAAAGTTATTATTAATGAAAAGATCTAACTTCAGAAGCCTTTCTTCTCTAACAAGAAACAAGCAATGTGCACAGCTTTTGATAGTACACTATGTCACTATACAAGAAGCTCTCGGGTCAAGAGAATAAAAGTGATTTAATATTAAAGTGACGAAGAAGAAA